TTCATGGCCTTTACAAAAAGGAGCTGAACAACTCTAGACTGCAGGAGAACAAGGGCACATAAGTATTTTTAAAAATTGGCTTAGAAAAGATACTAGGAGATTGCTGTCAGGTCTGACCCTGTTTTACTTCTGCGTCTTTTTGCACTGTCTGTAGGAGAAATTTTACTGCAAATTGATAAAACGCCATAATACTCACCAGTTTCTAGATTATGGCTTGATACTGATTTCTATAGTCAGCTCCCTCAACCGCAGTGTGACCTGGGTCCCTTACTCTCTGCAGTCATATGATACTGCATTCCCAGCTTTCTTTTTCAGAACCCAGAAATAGAACTTATGGAGGTCCCCCATGTATTTTTTCAAGCCTCCTAACTTTGACTACAGCATGAAATACTTAATTATTTTCTTCCGTGGTCTAATCTAGTTGTTTTAATGTCTAATGACATTAAAACTCTCCTGATTTCAATAGTGTGAATAAAAGGAGCACCTGATGACCCCAATTAAATAGGAAAAATTGAAAACTAAAAATCAGAGTTGAAAAATATATTTTATCAGCTGCAGCTTGAATTTACTTTCATAAGACACCTTTTGTTCTAATGTTGCAGTATGGTATATTGTAATGTTTACAGGCAAAAATGAAAGCGATTCCCTTCTGCTGTCCTTTGACTTAAAATAGTCAACTTCTTCAGTTTTGCTTTTAATAATTCCACCTGATGCCATGCATTTTCCTGGTTTAGTAATCACCAGAAATCTCTGTTTGCCACAAGCTGGCTTTCACCTCCCACATGTATAACTGTGCCCCTGCTCTCATTTACCCTATTTACATTAACCTCTGAAAACCGATCCATGCTGAGCTTGGATCAATTATCCGTGCCTACTAGTTTAGTTCCTTACGACCATTTACACACTGCTAGCACAATTCCTCGCCTTCTAGTGACGATCTACAGTACTAATGCTCTCTAGCAAACCAACATGGCGGTGCCCGTAACATTTAGGAAGTAATGTTTTTTTAATCATTGTGATATTTTGTTGTTTGCGGAGAGTCAGGCAAAGAAGGCAGCCTTTGGTGAATTTACTTGACAGAGTCTGCTTTTGGAAGTGGATACGACAAACGATAGTCTAACCTCTTAAAATCCACCCTTATTTTGGGTAATCTCTGCCTATTTTGCATACCCAATTGGAAAAGCAAATAACTTAGGAACTGTAAGCCCAAATTACATGTGCAATGCATTATTTGAAAGCTAATACCCTCTAGTTTTTTTTCCCCAATTGGTTGAGTAGAACGCAGACCAAACTGCATCAGTTCAAACATGACTCAAAGTTGTTTTTTTAATTCTCTGAAATGATCGATAGGTCTTTTTTGAACAGCAGTAATAAAGACATGCTTCAGAAAAGGCAGGTCTCATTATTTTAAATTTGATCTACATCATGTCAAACACAAATGTAGAACATTTCAGACCTCTGGCTATAACAGTTCCAGAGCTGTGGGGTTTTGAACTTTTGGTGTCAGCTTGGAGCTGCGATCAATGGCTCCACCTGCTGGTGGAGCCATTGTGTTTCTAACACAAGCCTGTAATGCGGTAACCCTCTTAAATGAACTACACACATTTGGGCTCATTTGAAACCTTATTTCATTGGTTACAAAGCCCAACACCCCAAGTGGTCTTAACCAATAACACCAGAGAGTATGTCGTCAATCATATCGCGCGTCACTGGCTGATTTTGGGGACTATATCGCTCAGATCGCATCATAAAAATATGCAGATACTTGTGTGTTGTAGATAAGAAGACAATGTAAAGAACCATACCAAATATTGCGGGCTAACAACCGAGGAAATAAGTAATAGAAGTAAATATTAGCAAGATGTCCGGTTGCAGAAGTTTAACGGGCGGATTATACTTCTGCAACCACACACATTAAATGTCGCTTGCGTCTGGTCGTGAACCAGTGTTGCTGGTATGCTTCTGCAACGTCGGTCTGGAATTTGTAGGGACGCACAGCAATTTCCTACCAAAGCACTAGGGGGAGCCTATTCGAGAACTTGAAAACTTTGGTGGATGGTCACGAGAACTTCTTCGACGGTGCCAGCAGGAGTTTTTATTTTCCAAAACAACAATGGCGCATCTGCAAGATATTGCATCAAAGAGATGGATAAAGAGTATCCATTGTTTTTATTACTCGGTTTTGGCGCACTCCGTCACCGAATCAAGAAGGACGACCACACAGACAGCCAGAAAGACATACCAAGGACAAATATCAGCTGCTTTTTGTCTGCGCTGGTTTGCGACCATCAGACGCGTAGTCAGGATTGTGGTGTAGTCAGTGTAGTCGGGGGGGCGTGTTTGCGCACAGAGACAGATTTGACGGTTGCAGACGCTATGTGTCAGAGTATAAATTGGCCTTAATCTGCCCTTTAGTGGTTCATGCTTCATAACTGAATAGTTGATTTCAGTACATTTCCCTTATGTCAGCTGTTAATTGCTGTCAGTTTACGGCTCTCTGTTTTTGGCCTTGTCAGCAGAAGGAAGCAGGAAATGCTTTAAAATCATTATGATAAGTAATTTTTTGTCATACGTTTTTAAAAAGTGAACTTTATAGATGTATTACACATGTTTTAAGCCTTTATTTCTTGTTTTACGATGATTTCTGGCTTACCTGCAGATAATAAATGGGTAATAAATGTGTTTTTTGGGCTTATGTTTACAAGATTTACAGCATTAATGGAACATGGCATTGAGGTTGTCAACCTTTGGTTCTTCTTGGTCAGGAAGTTCAGGTTTGGCAGCCTTCAGCTTGTCTGCATTCTTATTTCCGGTGTTTCCCTATCTTCCTCTGCAGATAGAGTTTAGATCTGGCTGTCATAGACTTCCTGCAGGCCCTGTTTGTAGAATAGGATCACGCAGCGGTTTGTGCTTAGAATGAAACAGCTGGTTATTTCTGGTAGCCCACGGTCCTCCCAGAAGGCCATTCACACACAGGCAGAGGCGTAGCCAGAAATTTTTTATAAGGTTGGCCAGGCAATAACAATGTACGTTGATGGGTGGCCGAAAGCGAATAGGGGACAGAACCTCAGGGTTAAGCTACACTGTTCAACAGGAAAATTAATGAGCACAACATCCATATTTTCTAAATCAAGACAAACTGTCCTTTTCTGAGGCCTTTGCTAACAAATAGACACATATATGGTGGATACAATTCTTTCAGGTTTAAGTTCTGGGGCAAACATCTTTTCCATTGTCATTACTTATTTTTTATCAATAACCATTCTGCAAAAAAATATTTATTTACAAGTAAAAATACCTACATAAATTGATTATTTAATACGTTTTTATTAAAATGGTTATTTATCTATGATTTCACTGAAGACTCCTAGATGACTGTACCCCAAATAACACAAAATCTAGTTCTGAAAAGAGCAGGAATTCTGTACTTATCTTTAATTTCAATATATTTCTGTGCATAATTAACCACAGTATCTTTGTTGTCAAGTAAATGTTAATATATGAAAAATTAGAATGGTTTGAATATTCCATTCTATGCTCGCGCAATAGAAGCCCCAATGCCCTCGATTATTATTCATGTGATTGGATGTGTAACTGTCATTGGCTGAAGGTTGCGTCTATGACAGCCAGACCTAAACTCTATGGGGAAACTCTGGAAATAAGCATGGAGACACGCCGAAGGCTGCCAAACCTGAACTTCCTGACCAACTAAGAAGAAACAGAGGTTGACAACCTCAATGCCATGCTCCCTTCATGGCATAAAGTTTATAAAGTTTATGCTGTAATTTTTGTAAACATAAGCCCCCCAAAAAAACAAAAACAAATCAAGAGCATTTCTTACCCATTTACAGTGCAGAAGCGTAGCCAGGACATTTTTATAAGGGTGGCCGGGCAATAACCAATGAACACTGAAGGGTGGCCGAAAGTGGATCGGCGCCAGAACCTTAGGGTCAATCTATACTGATCCAACTGGAACATGAACAACCACAGCATCCATATTTTCCAAATAAAGACAAACTATACTTTCCTACAGCCTTTGCTAACAAGTAGACACATATATTTAAACATCCATCTAGAAAAAAGGAATAGTGGATAAAATTCTTTCAGGTTTGAGTTCTGGGTCGAACATCTTTTCCATTGTCATTACGTACCTACTGTAAATTGATATTTACAAGTATTAATATCTACAAAAATTGTTTATTTACTAAGTTTTTATTAGAATAGTAATCTATGATTTAACTGAAGACTGGCTTGCATTGTCTCTTTACGCCATATAACACAAAATCTACTTCTGAAAAGAACATGAGTTCTGTACTAGAGGCCTGCGCGGGACAGATTTTCCAGTCCCGCAGTGTTCAGTCCCGCTCCTGCAAAGAATTATGATTTTCAGTCCTGCTCCCGCCCACAATTCCCGCATGATTCCGACGTTCGCCTACTGCTCAATGCAATTCGTTTCAGGAGTTTAGTTTGAGGAATTAAACACGCTGTGTTTAGCTGGGCACATTACTGGCCGATTCTTCACCGCATAGTGCATGACACACGTTAGGTGGCACGAGCTGCAATATCCAGCAGATTGTGATGTGTATATATATGATAGACATAGACAGATAATTTATGACTTTATTTTACGTTTTAAAAAAACACGTTTTTAGTTTGCGGGACTGCCACTTATCACTGCTCCAGCCCGCACCCGCACTGTGAGTTCTCCCTCCCCAGAGTTTCCGCGAGTTGTTAAAAGTCATTAATTAATTATTTTTTAAATTAAGGCCTGAATTGGCATTACAATTCATTAAATGTGAATATTTTGGCATTTAAAATGCTTTATTTAAAAAAAGTTTATAAAAACAATTTCTATATATTTGCAAATATGCAAATATATCGCGATATATTTGTGCGAAACTGCTTCCGGCGGATCGTCAAGCCGTATGTTCGGAAAAGAAGCTCAAGGCGGAGAAAAAAGCTGTAGAATGGGGAAAATGCTAATTTCAACAAAAGTGGCTGGAAATCGAGGAATTGCAGCCTGCCGACAGTAAAGATGAAGAAGGAATTTGCTGTGTATATACGAGAGTCGTGGGTACTTTTTGCATTAAAATAGTTTTTAATGCAACAAAAGCTTTAGAATAGCATTAAAAAGCATTAAATTAGAGTTGCTCATTCCTGTTGCTCATTCCCTGCCTCCCGCCCGCAATGAGCTTTCAATATTTGTCCCGCGCCGCACTGCTTTGCAGGGCTCTATTCTGTACTTATCATCTTTAATGTTAGTATCTTTTTGTTGCCAAGTAATTGTTAATCTATGAAAAATTAAAATGGTTTGAATATTGAGAGTATTACTGCTGCCAATGTCAGTATTATGTGGGGGAAAAAATATTAGAGGCCACCCCTGGCCCCCCATCTAGCTCCGCCCCTGCACACCGGTCGCGCAATAGAAGCCCTAATGCCCTCGATTATTATTCATATGATCCGATGTGTGACCGCCATTGGCTGAAGTCGCGTCACATGACAAGAAATGTGTAAACACCAAACACAGGAGCTGTATTTTAAACGAGAAGAAGCCGTCCGGAGCTCCAGAGCCTATCGGCGGAGCCTCCGCCTGTCCTGCGTCCGTCCGCCTGTCATCGATTCGCAGCCAGGGGCTGACAGGAGCGGCCGGAGCATGGAGATCAGGGAGAAGGGAGGCAGGACCAATCCGCTGGCGACTGCCAACTTGTTTTCACGGCTATTTCTATGGTAAGTGTTGATGGAGCAGAGCGGGCAGCGAAGCAGTGCGCGTCTGTCCAATGAGCGCCTGGATTAAACGGAGCGCTGAAAATAAACAAAACATGTTTGTTTATTTTTGCAGTCCAGCGTTACAGCACTCCTTTTTAGTTCAGGTTTCCCACCTGTATATATATCTATATACATTACAGAAATATATATTCAAAAATTACCACCTGTATATATATCTATATACATTACAGAAATATATATTCAAAAATTATTATATATATATATATATATATATATATATATATATATATATATATATATATATATATATTTTTTTTTTTTTTTTTTTTTGCAGTCTCCCTTTATATGATTGTAGGCTGTTCCCACCTGCCTCATAGACGCTTTAACTTCTAAAGTTCATGTAAATGAAAAAAAGGAAGAGAACACTGTTCTGCATACAAACCACAAGGATTGACTCTAATTTTTGTTCTAAAGCTCACTAATGTGTCGCTTTTTAATGCATGCACTTTTCCAAAAAAGTGTTTGAATTTAATAAAAACAAATCATAGCTGTAGAGTTTTCTGCATAATTTTAGTTATGCATGTTTGATAGCTTTAGTGCTGTGAAAATATGTCCTCTTAGAGCTTTTTTTAGTCACAGTAAGTAATTTTAATTATAAAAAAAGGCAAATCTGCCTTATGTTGCCTTTTTAAGAGAAATCTGTATATTCTGATTAAATTCTTGTGTGCAGAATAGTTTTCTTTGAACATATTCACTTTAATTTTCTGTTTTGTTTTTTGCATTCTTGGGAAAATCTCTTTGCGTTGCATGTGATCATATGAAGCAGTCTGTAAAGTATTTTTGATAACTTTTTTAAAGACATTCCCTTAATAACCTGATTAATAACATCCCTCCAAAATCTTTTAACCCTCAAAAGTAATCAGTGTTCTCTTGATCATTTTCTTGCTGGATAATCTGCATTTGCTTTAGACAAAGGTCAATAATAACTGATGACCCCCTTTTTTCTTTTTTTTTAATCAGTTTAGAAACGTTTATAAGTAAACTATGCCTCTTTTTCTGAGCTGCATGGTCACAGGCCACTAGGCTGAAGGTAAAGTCCCTACTCCGGCTGTTACAGAACCTCAGCAAAGAGTTATATTTTACCTATATCCAATCTCCACAGCAATCATTAGACATATCGCCATGGCAACCAGTTGTTTGGGTGGAATGTCAGAGAAAATCCCTCTGTCTTATCATCACAATCATAAAGAGGTGTAGTTTGGTCATGCTAATGGGATCTTAAGGATATAATCTGGTCAGATGAGTTTAAAATTAGGCCTTTTGTTTCGGAACAAATGTTAAAGAGATAAGTATCTAATAAACGCCTCAATGTGACGTTATAAAGATCCTTGTTAGAAGGCTTGGAATAAAATATATGCTTTATTTAATGCATGCACATTAAAATATGCACATCGACTGACATATTTTACTCCAAGACCCTTAAAATTAATAAAGGGTATAATTATATTAGAGTAGCTTCTATTGTAGTGGATTGTTATGCACTGTTCTAACTGCATTAGTGATTCTGATTCAGCTGGCTGACCCCACTGCTGCACATGGGCCAAAAGCGGCGGCTTAATGAGAACGACATGTACAGCGTTCTGCCAGAGGATCGCTCCGAAAGCCTGGGAGAGGAACTTCAAAGGTAAACCAGTTTATACTATGAGGTTTTATCTGCTTATGGTTGCAGGCATTTTACATGATTGTAATTAAGTGGGACTAGAGAGCAGGGATCTCAGCTGCTGCTTCACTCAGGTTGATCCAGATGGAAGGTTAATTCCAGCTTCCCTGATGCCATATAACCTGCCTGCCTTTGCCCCCGTTGCTCCCTTGAGATCAGAAGGTGAACTCCTTATGAAATACTGCAGTAGTGTAGCTTCAAGTGTGCACACTTTAATCCAATGCATCCTGAAAGAACATTGTTTGTGTTACATCATTCTGATTCCTTGGAGGTCAATCAACATGGCCACACCTTGAGTGACTTAGCGTTTAATTTTCCTCATAATATTAAAACTGGAACGCCACCAAAATTTGTCACCACAAGTTGGAACGTTAGTGCAAAAGGATTGTGCAAAATTACAGCCTTCAAAACAGATGCTACTGCATGAATGATGGCGAAACTATCCTACTTTACTGTTTTGTCTTGCATTAGTAGTTATTTTTTAAGTATGTAGGATTAAGTCAGTTTTTCAGGTTCTACCTTTAGTGGTTTACGGGCTGATGTGTTAAATGATGTTTACATTTGCAGTGCTTTTGCCATTGGGTGAACAAAATAACCTCAGCGTAATGCCACACACCACACCCACTGTTATTGTGAGGTTTTCTTGGTGATCCTATTGTTTTGCAGAAAGAAATAAAGATAATTTTCCAAACAGTCCCATACCATCAACCCACCTCCAGCATCATAGGCAGTTCTTATAAACCCATTGCAAATTTTGGGGATTTAAAGCCAAGCCTGGATGGTTTTCTTTTGAGAAAGATTTCCTTTGCAACTGTACAAATTAAAGTAAATAGAGCATAGCAAAGATGGTTGTCACATGAACACAACCAGCTCTTGGCAGGAATTTCTACAGCTCTTTCAGTGTTGCCCTGGGCCTCTTTGGAGGCTCTTTAACTACTTTCCAACTATTCATCCTCATTAACTTTAGAACAAACGTGCAATATTTCCTTCACTTTTTAATGACCATCTCTGCTGTCTATGATGGTGTTTGTAACGTTGGACAAAAGATGTGATCGTAAAGAAACCTCTATAAATCCGCTGGTTCTGTTGTCAAGCAGACGGCATGATTTAGGAACATCGTTATTTGCTCATGCAGTGATAAATTAGATTTTATCACTCATAATTGATTTTAATGCCTGTTGTTGACTTGTGTTTGCACTACTCAAAAAGCATGTTATTCCCAACAGTTGATATATACAGCACCCACCATTACCATGGTACAGTGTTTTTAATCGTATACCCTGCAGGTTTGATTATTGCAAAGCTTTTCTCGTGGAATCAATTGAATAAATTTACAACATAGAAAGTTATAGCATTAATTCCTGGTCAGAGAATTTGGATTATTTTTTGCCAGCATATTGCAGCGAAAAATCCGACTTCTCCAGCTTGCACCAAAGATTTTCAGTTCGCCTTAAGTCTGAGCTCTGTTATGTTTGGGAAAGAAATGTCATGCTTCCTGAAGTGATCTTTTTTTTTTATAATGGGAGTCTGTTAAATACAAAGTTATGGCCTGGGAGGTGAATCGTTTATCCACCATGTGAGAGTTAAACAAGAAGCTTATTGTGTCAATCTATGTTAAAACACCGATCAATGCAGCATTTTTTTTTTTTAAATGGGAAGTTTCTTCGTCTCTGCTGGCCAACTGGCCTAAATGTAGGAAATCAGTAGAGCAGCTGACATACATTTAGAAACTGATATAACGTGCGATCAGATAAATTTAAGGGTATATACATTTTTGCCAGTTTATTTTCTCCTTGATTCCAATTCTAATGACGCAAAAGTTTTAAACTTTTCCTTGTCATCTATAGAATTGTTCACATTTGCTACCAGAATGAATCATTTTACTGTGAAAAAAAGAATATTCACATAGATAAACAGGATCATGTTGTATTTATTCATTCAATTCATTTCAGCCAATTTTTGCTGAAGTAGCCGAATAACTGTTTTGCAAAGTCTCAATTCTAATTTATGTACCATTTATTTTTTTACATGGAGGGTTTAATCAAATTCTGCAAGTCAAAAATGTAGAGACTTTTTTCAGATTCTGTACAAAACTTTTAATGTTTCTGCTTTTAGTTTAATTATATCAGAACAGAGTATCCATTGCAATAAAACGAAATAATCCTTTTTTACAATGGTCCAGTCAAAGTCCAGACCTCTCACTGATTGATGTATTCTTACAGGAACTGCAAACAAATACCTTAGTTACAATGTAAACATCCCCATCGAAAGGATATCATTTTAGCTGTAGTCTGTCTGTCTAAAGGTTTACCTGGTTTACTGTTTTCTGCAGCGACATCTCGGCCAGGAACTGGATCCAAGAGAAAGAAGCTATTAATTTACACTCTTATTAACTTAAGCTCTCTAAAAAAACATGAAATGCTAATGTTTAAGATGTTTATTTTAAGTAAAATACATATAAATTTCTTTGATTCTCCAGATTTTGGGCCCAAGAGGTAAAAAAAGCTACAAAGGAACCCCGGGATCCAAAGCTGGCCAGGGTTCTCATTAAAGCCTATGGGAAATCATATGCATTGGCTGGGCTGTATGTATTTTCAATGGTATGTTCTTCTTTATATTCATTTAATCTAATTAACATAATTATAGTTAAAAAATATTGTATTTTATTAGTTTGCATGCTGATAAGAGGTTTGAAGAAACATTCACATGTTGTCGTGTGCTCTGTGGTGTCACCTTTGTTTGGTTTAAAGCTTTATGACGACTCCACATATCTCACTGAAATGTCTGCGATCAACTTTATGATCAAAGAAGGATAGCTTGTGTAAATAGACAGAAACATTAAAGAAATACCTGACCATCACAGTACCGCCACATTTGAATATAAAGCAGATGCAGCAGGAGGTACTGCTTCCAAAAGTCCACTTCTCTCTGAACTCTGTCTTCCAATCATATGTTTTAATCATGAACCTTGATTTTTAAGAGGCTATGGAAACCCGTAAAGTTTGATATTTTGGTGCTTTAGTAAGTTCCTGGTTTATTTATTGTGCTGCTTTAGTAGTAACTTTGAGGGGTTGCAACACATGGGAAGGTTTATAATATTTTTTTCTCAGTTGTTGGATATTTTCTTCCATTGTTGTTTCCATAAGTCGGTATTAAAGTTATAGATTTAGCATCATTTTCTGTACAGAAAGCAACCAAACATCCATGTCCAAAAACAAAAAATGATCCTCTTTGCACACGAATCACAGGTTGCATCTCATATACATGTTTGGCTGAAGGGGTTCATTGTTTTCATGGCCTTGAATGTTCTTTGTCCAGAGTCCATTGCAGTGGGACTGCATGGTTGGGTGGAAAGGTGCTTGCATTTAGCTTCCATGCATGCACCTGGCTGCAATTGCAACTCCTATACTTCTATTTTGGAGCGAACTCTCTTAAAGGGGATTACCACCATCCAAAAAAAACAAAACAAAAACAACTTTATACAATTTTATTCTGAATACACTTTATTTTTCAGCCCTACTGACCAAGATGAACTATTTCGCTCCTCTTTTCCCCTTTCATTGACCCATTGACCAAGTCGATTTGACAGAGACCTTACTTAAAAGGAGGAACATTTGCTGATAATAACTAAATAATTTAAATAACTACTTACGGGTTACCTTGACTATGGATTCCTCTGAAAGGTTTTAGGTTAATTATACCCCCCTAATCTCCAATGTAAATTAGGACCTTTAAGATGGAATGTAATTCCCTTTTTTTCAACTTTAAGCTCCCGGAGAGAGTCAATCAGAACGGAACATTTCCCACGCATGCTTTATTATTTTCACTGCCTCCCAGTCAAAATACCTTTCAAGCCATTTTAAGAGTGAAGGCAGATTACGTTTAAAATATGTGGTATTGGAGGACAGCTAGGATTAACTATAATGCATGGCAGTCAAAGAACGATGTAGGTGGAATGTGAAATATTACTACACAGCTCTCTTAAAACCATTACTTTATGCTTCCCATCCCATGCATCAGGTATTCCTTTTATAGCTCTGCCAGCCGCTTGTAAACTCCAGTGTGAGCTGATGGTTTTATAGGATTCGTTGTTAGATCGCCAGTTAACTCCTGAAGTAGGACAATGAGGAAATATAGCTTAGAAATCTGATGTGGCTATTATTCAGAGTGCAGAAAATTGTTGAAAAATAAAAGAAATACAAAACTTCCTCCTGGATTCACAGCCTATTTTTTCTCCACAAGGGGTCAGTCACGAGATTTGAGGCTTTTTAAAGTGAACTCAGGTTAGAAAGAGTCAATGTTCCTGCAGGTTGAATAATTTTTTGCTAATTTAATGATATTTTAAATATTGAAAACGATCAGGTTTTATCTCAGGGTTGTACTTTTAAACTAAGCAGGCCACAATAGCAATAAAACTATTTGAAAAACACCTTCTGAAAGAGAACAGGAAACGTCACTAAAGCAAGTCTGAACCTCAGGTTTTATTATTAGCTGGCGTTCCTCCATCTTTACGTTTTTCTTTTTATTTCTTATGACTAATACCTAATATGCTTTATAGCAAAGAGGGTTTGCTATTTAGTTTACATTTAGTTTTATTAACAAAAGGATGTGAAAACCTGGATTTTATCTCCACCTTTTCTTAGCTTATCTGCTGATGCGCCAGGATTCTACTTGTGAGTCATTCATTTATTTAGCATTCTTTGTATTAGTGCTTAGATTTCTTTCAAATTAAATCTTTTAATCTGTAACATTAAAGATTAAAAGGAAAAGAAAAATGTTTTTATAGCTCTGGTACTGTATATAAAATACGTTTGGAGAAAGTGATGGAAAATGCTTTTATTGTTAATATTAAAAAGAAAAGGATCTTTTTAAATATGTTAAACCTGAAAGGTGGGAAGGTGTTTTCTTATCAAGATCTTTCTTTGTCTTAAAGGAAGCCATTAAAGTTGTCCAGCCTCTTCTTCTGGGGAAAATAATCGAGTTCTTTGAGAACTATAACCAAGAGGATCGTGTCGGTCTTTACATGGCGTATGGTTATGCGGCTGCCATGTCCATCTCCACCTTCGGGCTGACCATCCTCCAACATCTTTACTACTACCAAGTGATCAGAATTGGGATGAGGGTTCGAGTGGCCATGTGTCATATGATCTTTAAGAAGGTTGGTCAAACAGTTGGAGGGTTTGCAACCTAAAAAAACGTCATAGGAAGTGTTAATGGTTGCTGTGTGTTAACAGTAGAATGGTATATTTGTCTTTGCAGGCTCTTCGTCTCAGCAATGAGTCAATGGGAAGGACAACCACAGGGCAAATAGTGAACCTCCTTTCAAACGATGTCAATCGTTTTGATGAGGTAAGCTAATGCTAATCTTAATTTAGCCATATGAACTCTATGCAAGGTCATCAGTATTTACTGTGTTTGTAGATTATGCTGAATTTGCATTACCTGTGGGTCGGACCTCTGCAAGCTTCGGTCATCATCATCTTCCTCTGGTATGAAATCGGCCCTTCCTGTCTGACGGGAGTGGCTGCTATCGCCCTCTTAATGCCCGTGCAGACATGGTTTGGGAAGCTTTTTGGTGTCTTCAGGTGAGAAACTGAAGCCTCGTTTTTTTATGACCATCTGTGACATTTACAATTATTTTTTATTATTTTGCAGATTGCGTAAAACTTTTTATTTCCCTCCGGAAACTCAAGAGCTTGTTGTTTTGCAGGAGCAAGACGGCTGTCCTTACAGACAGCAGAATCCGTATCATGAACGAAGTAGTTTCTGGCATCAGAATAATTAAGATGTACGCCTGGGAGAAACCGCTGTCAGCTCTGATCACTGATGTCAGAAGGTGAGGAGGAACTTTTTAATTTGCTATGAGTAACACCTTTCAAAGACGTTTTTATTACCCTCTGACAGATTTAAAACAAATTATATAGTATAGTTTAACCTCTTTTTTTTTTTCCAATGAAAAACCCTGATCTGAATGACTCAAAACTTCCCTATTTATAATCTTTGATAACAAATTGATATAAATTAGCCTTACTTAAGGGGTTTTGATTTATTTATTTCATGAAATATATTTGAAATATTTCGTTATATTTCACTTTTAGAGTATTATGTATTTAAAGGTACTCTACAGTTTTATTTGAAATTAAATGACACTCATTTGTGCTCATTTGTGCTTTATAATGTAACCTTCAAGTATTTCTCTTAAACTGGTGAGGTCACTAAAACAAAATTAAAATAAAGCCATAAGGAACCAAACTGAAGCAGAAAGAATTTGCCTCATCCCTGAATAGAAAAGTTTAAAACATTTAGATAATAATAAAAAAGTAAAAAAAAAAAAAAACTTTTTGAATCAGTGGCTCTAGCTTTAGTTAGCGAACAGGCAACAGCCTCAGCTGACATCACTGCGACTCAAAGCTCTTGCAAAGACAATTTAACTGGGGACATAGTGAAGCACAACATTACCTGAAGCATTCGATGTGGCATTTTTGCCTTATTAGCAAAGTCAAAAGGAAAAATTTTCAAATCAATGAAGTTATATTTTGCGAAAACTCACAAATCAACTTAAAGGACAA